ATATATTTATGTATATAACAACTTGTATTCGTAGTTTTCCTCAGAGATGGATGAGAGTATCTTCTTTAATGTCAGCACTTAGGGTCTAACAGAGGACACGTCAGGCAGATAGTACCTAACGTCCCATCGCCACACACTCTCATGGTGCCTCATTCGCCCATCTTTATATCCACACTGATTAAATGTATCTCTATTGTATCAAATAAGATGAGCTTCTGTGTCAAGCATATTAGATCTATAACTCTCCAGTGATCTCTGATGAGGTGGTTTGTTTATTATGAAGACTGAATGAACGTCCCACCCTCCCTAGTTCCCCCAATAGCAACATCTAGTTTTGGGGTCACTGCCTCCACTAACCTGCCAACACACCGCAGAGCCTGAATTGCAAAGGTTAATGGTATTGTCTGTCGGCCGAGGAACAAACCGCTGTGCCTCGGCGTTCGAAGGAGAACACGAGCACATTAATGCTAATCAGTTAGCAGTCTTTAGCATAATTTAGCCATCCTCCTTTGTGATTTATGATATTTTCAGTGAAGTTGTCAAGCTGAAAGGGCTACGTGCTGCGGTTATTCAAATTCACAGACCAATTCTTGTGTATTTGAACAAAGAGCCAATTATTTCAAGATGACTTTATGTGCCACAAGCACATTTTTTTCCAGTTGTAACTGGAGGAGTATTTTTATAATGAATAAAAGAAAGGACTATTTAATGAATAAAAGAAGCAGTTAATCTGAGTGTTTGTTGTTTTTTTTCTAAATAGCTGAATTGGAATCATCACAAAGAAAACTCTTGTCTTCTCTGCCTCTTTTACCTGTCCTAAACCTCCACAGTATAATGGTCCAGTTTACTCAGCCACAACTCAGGTGTTTTTCCTTGAGTTAGTCCATTTTGATTTTGTCTCCATATTTGCTGCTTATCACTGTTTTTTTTTCTGCACTATCCACAGAGCACTGGTCAGTGACGGTGTTTTGTTGTTGTTTTTTGTTTTCTTTTTATTGTCCTTTTGTTTGTTGACTTACTTTCTGAATGTACAACTCTTCTCCATTATAACATCTGGTAAAAGTGTACTTTGCAAGATTTACTTAATTAAAACAGATTTTATTATTATTTCCCCTTCAAGAGTTGTAGTTGTTCTACTCTGGAATAGCCTCATACTCTTGTCCTGCTGTGCTGTTTTTGAATATTTTTACAGTTATAGTCATTTTTGTGATACACCCCAAAATGGAAAATTGCATACTATACATTTATTTATGTAGTTTTGTTTGTTTTTATGTTTAATCAGTTCATTGTTTTACTGTAAAAGCACTTCTAAGAACCACCTTCTTGTTAAATCTCATTTATTTCTACATTAAATACCCAATTTATTGCTACACTGCCTGTTTGCAAAATATTAATTATTTTCATTGTCATTCAAGCTACAAAGACAATTATTTGCTCTGTTGAAAAAAGGGAGTGTTTAGTTAAGTGGCTTATTTTCCTCAGTCACCCTCATTGAAATTAAAATATAAAATGTGCAATAAAATATTAATTTCTGTAAAATGATCAAGCTAATTGTGTGCAGTCCTTAGGTCTTCAGTTCTTACATCAGAACCCACAAGAAAACGATGTGGTGTTTATCAGTGTAAAGCCATCTACCTCCTCCTCTCCTCCCCTGTGTACTCTGGTGCTTGGCTGCCATGCCGGTGGGTGATGATAATATAAGGGTGGTGTGGAGCTGGCAGACAGGAGATGGTGCCAGATAAGAAGCCAGGCCCTCTCAGGGAGGTAAAGGAGCCCCCCTGGGAGTGAACAAGTTAGCCAGGTAGTTGATGCGTGGATGTGTGACATCATTCTTCTCAAAGAAATAATATTGCGTGGCTGTGTTATCACATTTTAACTTTTTCAGTTATTGCAAAAAGCTGCTGTAGTGCACACAAGTTATTCTTTCTTTAAACGATGTCACTGGTTTTACTGAGTTGTTGTTGTTGTTGTTGTTGTTAATCATACATAGCTGAGAGTGACTTTCTGTCCACAAGCCACAACTTAAACTCTATTCGTCACTTCTGCCAAAACTGTGAATAGAAATTTGTTTACCATAATGCTCAGTGCTATGAACCTGCTTTTAGAAACAGGCTGTGGAGCTGTAATGTTTTACCAGGTTATCATGTTTGATGAGTGTTTTCTGTAGAATATGTTTAATCTCAGTGGAGAAACAAAACCTTAAACATGTCGATGTGCTGTCAGATACAGTGTCTCTGCCTTGTTACTAGGTGTGCACGAAATGTAAGGTTCAACTTGGCTGTTGGGTCATTGTTCAGTATGGGGGGAAGCAAAAGATGGAATTTCTTTTTAATTTATTTTGAAAACCACTAAACGGTGGGTCATAGGTCCTTCATAGTGTAAAAGTGTAGGCAGTCAATCAATTGTTTAAGGTCAGGAAGTAATCTAATAGAGAACAGTATGTCAACAAAGCTATGCACTCTTGAACCGACATTACTGAGCTCAAGAATATTATGCTCAACACCCTCGGTCTTTTGGTCTCAGAGTATTGTATCATATATGAAGTGTTGAACACTGCCAGAATACCAGCTATTGGTTTGGCCTTTGGCTGCTTGTACACTTGAAGAATGGCAGGCTCAACACACAGGAGCTGTTTCCACAGGTAACATTAGTTGGCTCTACAACTGCCTGTAGATTTTTTGACCATTCAAGTAAGTCCTTAAGGATAAGGATAATAGGATAATCACCTTTATTGGCCAAGCATGTTACACACAAGGAATTTGTTTCCTTTGTAGAACCGATAGCAGTCAGAAGGTTGAAGGTCCGAATCTTGGTGCCTGCAATCCACATGTCGAAGTGTCCTTGGGAAAGACACTGACTAAACTAGTCGCTCCCTCCTTAAACTATCACATAATGCTTTATTTTGTTAGAAAAAGGTCTCACAAGTGAGAGTTTGTGAGATGTGTATACACAAAGTTGTTTCTGCATAGAAGTACTAGAACATACTGTATGTACATCTCATTTTTTGAGCTTTGGGTCATGTCTAAGATGATAATTCACCGTTGTAACATTGTAGCTAAGTCAGAAAACAAGAAAAAGCACTATGGGCTCTTAAACCTACAACTGTTTATATGGCATCACAATGACAGTTTATGGATGTTACTCTGTGTGGATCTGCCTGTGGCCACTGGATGGAAATGTGCTCTATAAGTACGACTAAACTTGTTTGTTGTGAACAACTTTCATCAAGACAGTTTAGTTTGGTGCTGTATGTGTCCTGCAAACTGTAAGCTCAGCGCACTTTCAGGACTCCAGTCCAATTTCTATTGTATTTTTCACGGTCTAATACAAGAGCTGAGTGTAGCTTAAATAACAGTTTATAAAGCTGTCGGAGAATTGATGGTGTGGACAATACGGGTGACATATTGCAGCCTGACAGAAATCAAATTCCATAAAAGTGAAATTGAAAACCCTCCGTGAGGCGGCCTTGCTGCTGAGTAGACAGCTTGTTTTAAAGTTTTCAGAGGACTGGAGAAAGCCAGCGCTGCATGTTGCAGCACGTTTTTAGAACCAGCCTGGGAATTCGAACACTGCTAATTTTCTGTCACATAATTTTATGTCTGTATTTTTTTCATGTCAGTTTGGGTTGTTAAAGTGTTGCTGTGAGTATCAGATATCTGATTTGGAGGATTGTATTGTCAAATGGGACAGAGGTCATAGAACAATGATGATCATATTGTATTTGACAGCTTCAACTGTAGAAAAGAAAACTCTTCATAAAAAATGAATTAATGCTTTGGTGTTTCTACTGATGCCATTTGGATTAGTATCCATAAATGGTCAAGAAATAAAAGCACTAATATAGCCAATGCAAACAAAGGTTTAGGTCCCCACACGGGTTTACATGTGGTTGGTTAATGAACTAAAGTAGGAAGGGAATGAACAGTGTTTCATTTAAAAACTCTTTTGTTAATGACAATAAGACCTGGTTTGATCATGGAAAAACGGCTTCAAGGGCACATCAAGTCAAAGACCTGCTGCAGCAATTAGAACTCGAGGAAAAATCACCAATAAAATAATTTGAGTGTGTTGCTGCAGGAAATGAACTGATGTGTTACAGTGTTTGAACTGGATTTGCTTTCTTTTTTATCTTTGTTGTCGTTGTACTTGCCTCTGCTGCAAGTTTATGATGTTTTTGGCAGAAATGCGAAAATGTTCTACTTTCAGCTTCACAGTTGTGAAGATTTGCTGTTTTTCTCTGTCATATGTGATATTAACATGAATGTGTTGACATTTGAAGATGATATCTTGGGCTTTAGAAAATTATAATGGCCATTTTTCAGCACTCACTGACAGTTCATAGGCTTTACAATTGATTGAGAAAGTAACCAGCATATTAATTGATGATGAAATGAATAATATTTGCATCCCTATATACAACATATTAAGATATGTTTCTTCTTCGTGTGTAAAATTGGCAGTTTTTTTTATTTATTTGTTTGAAGCAGATGCCCCATGGTGATGGACGCCTGTCTAGCCACAACATGTCTTCTCAGTACCGCATGCATTCCTACTACCCAGCCACCTACCTGCCTCAAGGCCTGGGCTCCACCACCTGTGTGCCACCCATCTTCAGCCTGGAGGACAACAGCAGCAGCAGCAACAACAACAACTGCTCTGAGGCCATAGCAGCCTGTGAGTGACATATAAAACAGTCACACACACACACACACACTTCTCAGGCCCCATAAATTTTTAGACAGACTTTATCAGCAGTGTAGTTAAGTACATTGAAGGGAGGACTGCACTCAAGTCAGCAGTGCCATAAAAATATGAGATGAAATTAGTCTAAAGATAAGTTTTTTTTTTTACTTTTACTGGTCTTACTTTATTTTGCTTTTTTATTTTTCCCTCAAATACACAAATGTGTATGTAGTTCTGACACCAGTTAATTCATGTGTTGTATCAATTTCCAAACTGAGAGTTTACATGAATGAAACAAAGAAAGAAAAGCTGCAAACTTAGATTGCCTCTTTAACCTCAGTTAGCTTTTCTGTTTAAAGCATGACAAAATGTATTTAAATGACATCGGCTGTGTGGGATGTTATCAGATATTTGCCTCTCATGCACACATGTGAAATGCTCTGAGGTGTAAAATACTGTACTACTGACATTTCTCTCACATAGTACTGAACATGTTCACACATACTATTAGGTGGGTTCCAGTTATATATGAGTGCACCTTTTGTGTAATGTGAGAGCTGTCTCAGTAGTGCATGTGTGAGTCATTTCAGTGTTGTATGGGAGTGATTTCACTTGAAACAAAAGGTTTTCACTTGAAAAGGAAGGTACTGTAGTCTGAGAGTGTCCCTGTGTAGTTCTTAAATCTCATTGGTCACAGGTCAGTGCCATGTTGTAATAGATTTCATTTCCATTTAATGCACAAGAGTCACGGACAACCAAATACCAGATTACAAGATGGGCCAAGTTAATTCCTATGAAACTTTCTCAGTGGTATATACAAAAAAATCTTCATGCTCTGACCATAAAAATTACTCAGATGTTCCACACCCTTCTGTGTTTTTGGGCCCATAGAGCACGCACGTTATCAGCCTCCTCTCATGGAGCCGAGACTTCTGCCAGCCGAGCTGGGTGACTCTCTGCACACATAAAATCAAATAAAAAATATTATACAGTGCTTCTAGATTTTTTGAAATGATATTGGGCCCAGTGAATCAAATTCTGAGAATGAAAAGAATCATTTTACAGGGCTTGTGACACTCACTTGCCTTATTATGCTGTTAAATTATTATATCATAGACATAAAATAGACTTAAAATGACAATAATATTGTTTATTGCAATTATTTCTGGATCAAAATATTGTGTTACAAAAGTAGACATTGTGACAGGCCTGTGTGCGAGCATTTTAAGTACTATAAAAGTATTTTCTGTGTGTTTATGCTCATTTCACATGTACAGTATGTGACGGGCAAATACCCAATCAGTGGCCTACACAACCTCTGATAACATGTTCGGCCATTCAGCCTTAACTGTTTCTCATTTACAGTCATTAATGGACATTAAAAACACACCTCTATTGCTGTAATTCACAGCCATCACAGAAAAAGTCATCCCTTTTGAAACAGTCACAAAAAGCTGACAGCACAGCTCTGTTTCTTATCATTGTGTTTAAAGATGACGTGGATCTGATCTCTGATCTCGCAGTATGCAGCCATAGATTTCTGGCACTCTGTGCCACCAGTCTCAGCTGAGCATGGCTGCTGATGGTGTTTGCCTGTACTTTCTCAGTGCCTGTGAATGTGGGCAAATCAGATTATGTGTTGAGGAAAGTATTTGTCGGGCTCTGCAAAGAATGCATGATGAGAGTGAGATAAAAGGGACACTCCAACATAATGCAGTGGGAGAGAGGGCAGGATGCTGGGCTAATGCTTGTTCAAAATTTACTGTACTGGCAGTCAAAAAGTTTTTTCTTTTCATGTCTTTTACCTTTGTGCTTAATTTTATATCAGGAATGATAAACAAGTTTTAAATATGTCTCCACCGCTGGTGCACCCGCTGGTGAGATCTTTAGGGGCCTGTTTAAAAAGTGTTTTGAGAGCACATATTGGAAATGTTAGCATTCTGTTTCACAAATACTGTCACTCACAAACTGCAGATAAATTTGCATCTTATAGAGGGATTTTGCATGTTTGTGTATGGGTTGCTGAAACTGTGTGGCATTTGCTATGGCAAGTGAAATGCTCCAAGGGAAATGATCTTAACGTTGCACATTACAGCTTGCATGTAGCATATTTGCTGAAACAGGCTCCAGATCATGAATGAGTCGACCACTGAGAGTGAGATTGAGTTTTAAAAGTCTGCAGGTGACTTCCACTGTACACTGACTAATCTGTTGTTACTATGTTCACTCCAAGTAAAGGCACCAATTATAAACTTACTATAAATCTACAGTATGTGTAACTTCAAACTGCATTTATCTTTGTCGGTATTAATTTCTGAACGGTTTTGAATCTGAGTCTGGTTGCCTTCATATTGGTAGTGCTACGTGCTGCCTGGTACGGAGCGTGAGTGGAGCTGAGGCGGACTGAAAGGATAGAATGAAGCTAGCCACCAGTGGACCCTCCTGCCTGTCACTCAAAGCGGCCACACCCTTAATTATGTGTAACTTTTAGCCTCAATATAATTTAAATGGACACATTATATAAAAATTCACCCCCTGTACAGTTGTCATTGAAGGGGAAATTGGTTGTAGAGACCAAAATTGTTTTTGTACCAGGCTGTAAACATGTTTATTTTCGCTTCAATGTTTGGCATTTTTACATGGAGTCTATGGGGATTGACACCCTTTTGGAGCCAGCTTCAGTTGGCCATTCGAGGAACTGCAGGTTTTAACACTTACGCGCTGCCTTCAGTTCTCAGCTGCCGAGGTTGCCGATTGGTTGGACTGTACACGGGAGGCCTCCCACAACTGAAGATAAACCTCATTACTTTAGTAGGGACTTTTTGTAAGAGTTCTGTGTCTGAGATGTGAGTCCTGTGGCCTTGATGTTGTTCCAGTGTTAATTTGTATCTTATCAGACAAGTACAAATCACTCTGCAGGGTTATGAACATCTTTTTGTTACTGTAGTGCTGGTACTAACAGTTATTTTCATTATTCTTGATTAATTCTTCAGTTTATAAAATGTGAGGGTGGCTGTGACTCAGGAGGTAGAAGTCAGCGGTTTGATTGCCATTCTCCACAGTCCACATGTTGAAATGTCCTTGGGCAAGACACTGGTCCCCAAGTTGCTCCCGTTGGCCAGGTCAGCACCCTGCAGGAACAGCGCCACCATCGGTGTGTGAGTTGGCGCCACAGATGGCTGATGAAGTGATTAATTATTGAAGAAAATGTTCTTGAAATGACTAGTTTTGTCCAATACCCCAAATATATTCAGTTTACTGCCAAAGAATATAGACAAAACCTGCAACCAACCATTTATTTTTTGACTCTTTTGCGTTAAAGTATTTGCTGATTTTCTCTGGATTGACCTAATTGATGAATAGACTAATTGTGCGTTGGTTGGATTAAAGAAGTCATCTCAGGCTGGTGGACCATTCACTATTTTCAAACTTTTTAAGCACTAAATGGCTAACCAGTTAATTGACAGAATAATGAGCAGGTTCACTGATAATGAAAAGTTGCAACATCACCAACACAGCTTAAGTTAGGAACGTAATATAGACCCTCGACCTGGTTGTTTATTCAGTATCACATTTGCTTCAGCATATCAAAATTCACCCACCTCTTTTAATCCTTGAATTGTTGCGTTTTGACTGAACATGTTGTGAACCTCTGGATCAATCCACGAGGAGGAAGTAGCTGGGAGCTCTGAGCCTACCTGCCCTCCCCTCCACCTGGCTGCCAAACAGCGCCCTGTCAGATTTATCCCCCTCCCAGGATAGGGCTAATCAGTTGCCCAAATACAGAGATCCAAATAACCTTCAGGAGTGCCATGCTGTCCTTTCCCCACCTCGCCTCCCCTTCCTCTTCTTCCTCCCCCCTGTCCCCCCCCCCCCTCCGCAGGCCCTGCTGTCTCCGCAAAATTGCCTTCTGGAGTTAGTGAGCGGGAACAGTTAAGATTTACAAACAATGATGAAGCTTGTCATGCGTCTTTCTCCATCCGTCACGGCGGGCCGGGCGGAGCTGTGGGGAGAGCCGTCCTGGTGTTCTTCATAAAAGCCAGCTCTCTGTGAAATACGCCTCCGGACGGCCTGTTTACTGCCCCGCGCTCGTCAGCAGCACCGCCACTGTAAATCACCGAGTGGGAGGTGACAGTGCAGTCCATCAAACTCCCACCCCACCTCGCTGCCCTCCCAACATCTCAGCTCACATTGTCACCCCCCTCCATAGACACACACACAGAGACATGCACACTGTTTCTCCACAAACACCCGCCCTGCTTCCTCACTAGGATCTAACTGGGGAGGCTCAGATGAGCTGCCCCAAAAGAGTTATGGCTGGTTCAGTATTACAGGAGACACTTCACCCCGAGTCTCCCGGTGTTTATGTTCTTTCTTTTTTGTCCTTGTCTAGACTTTACCAAATCCAAAATGGCTCAAAGTTTGCAAGCTGACTACCACTGCAGCAACTTAACTTTCACATACTTTGTACTTTTTTTTAGGGGGGTGACAAGATTTATACTAAAGTCAGACCCCAAAATCGAGCGCGCTGTGCTGGCTATACGTTTGTCTGTTTTGTTATATTGGTGTCAGCACAGAGCGTACAGTAATTTAAATGCAAATCAGATTGTTGAGGTATTGCAGATGTTAATCCCACTGATCGATAGACCTGTGTGAGCCCATTAAGTTAGAAATCCATTACTATCTTTCTAGATGATATTGTATTGATTTTTCTTGCTTCAATCCATACTGTACTGTACACCAAAGTGAGTTACTGCGTATAAAGTCTGTCGTTTCAGGTTCTTGGGAGGAAAAAAGCTGTAAAAAACAAAGGAGAGATTGACATCAGTAAGTTTCTTTGTTTCGTGTGTAGAATGGGCTTTCCCTGCTTTCAGAACAGATTCCTTCAGACTTGACACGCACACACACTCTCTCACACACAGTCCCTTCACATACACACAACCACTGCATGTACCATCTGCACACGCGCTCATGGCCACTCATTCCGGAGA